TTTTTTTTTTTTTTGAGCATTTTCTCTCATTATAAAAATGCTTTTAAAATTTGAAATTTTTTGGGCCATTGAACTACACTACACATATAACCTTATCAAACGAGCCAAAATTGATATTAGACATTGACATATAGACACACATATAGGTGAACAATAAAAATCGCATCAACTCCACAAAAAAATAAAATAAATAATGAAAAAAATTGTAAACTATAAATCCTGCAGCCTGCTCTGGTAAGCTGAAACGTCTGAAACAAGCTATATACCCTTTTGTCGACAGTCTCCTTTCTTTTTGTTTAATTATTTACACCTTATCGAGCACAGATATAATAATTAAATTAATTCGAAATTGTTGCTAAATTTCGATTACTGAAATTGAAACTGAAATTTGTAAGAGATATAATTATTTTGTAGATATCAAACAGCTCTTGCTTCTAGCTTCCATTACTGTTCATTTATCGTCGTATCTCACAAATCAATTAACGATTTAATAACTGCTTCTACACACTTCTCTATGTCAGTCACAAGTTTGTTTAACCTGCCCAAACAATCCATTGTGCGGCAAATCTGTTTAGTTTTTCTACACTTTTTTTTGCTTCCCAAGCACTTTGAAGTAGTCTTTTCATATTTTCTATACCCACACACACACACCCACATACACACACATTCTTTGTGCACTCTTTTTTCCGGTGTATGTCTACAGCAATCAGGCATTTCGACTTACTTTTTTATGGCTCTCGCTTCGCACACGTGTAATTTGTATTGCACTTTTTTTCGTGTGTGTGTGTGTGTGTCTGTGTGAGTTCAGCTCTCGAGGGAGTGGGCAGGTTTATATGGGTGTAGTGTTGGCCGTTGTGCGGCCTGGGGGCGTCTCTGAGTTAGGATTCGGATTCGGTTCTGTTTTGTTTGGCTAGCAAGCAAGGGAATGAATGTCGTGCACAAAACCAAAATAGATTTATGCTTGCGGCATTTTTAAGTGACAGCAAACGAGCAAATTTTCTGTGACGTTGCCACTGCACCGCCCACAACGCTTGTTGCCACGCCCCACACTCCATCTCCTCTTGCCCCCTGCTGCTACGGGCATGACAGCGCACGGACAGCATGTGATGTGACTGACTGTCGCTTGTAATAAATCTTAAAAAGAACTGCACACTGATTTGAACTTTGTTTCGTTTTGAATTTTCATTCCTTTTCTTTTTTTTTTTTTTTTTTTGTTCTTTTTGTGTTTCGTTTTGTTTTTACGTGAGATTTTGCGGAAAAAGTGCAGCAACAGCTACAAGTGGGGCCTCGAAATGCAATCAGTCAGAGACAGTGGGCCCAGCATGGGGCTAAATGTTATGCTGATAAGATTGGACTATTAGCAGATAAAGTGCGATGGAGGAGGCAAATGTATAAGGAATCTTATATGCGTTTAAATGGGCTGCAGGTTTACATTAAGCAAAAGTTGTTAGGATATTACAAATTTAATGAATTAATGTGAATAAGAATAGATTTTAAAAAGTATAATATTATATGAGAGAACATGGAATATTGCTATTTACTTTTGCTGATATTGTGAACAAAGTTGCATTTCATACGTAATATGAATATTTATCATTTCATATTTATTTAAAATTGGCTATAAAGTATTAAATTTAAGAAAAAAATATATGTATATTCATAAATAATTATTAGTATTAAATCTTTTAAGACATCTTTAAAAACTCCAAAAGTTAAGGAAGACAAGTTTTTTTTTTTTTAACTGAGCAATATATAACTGTTGAACAAACCAAATCAATTAAATTAGAGATAAATTAAAAATTAAAAAATTAATAAATAAGGAAATAATGAAAATGTGTTGTAAAAAATACATAAAAAGATTGAAATTAATGAACTTTTTTTTTTTGGAAATTTTACAGGCAATAAAAAAACAATAATTGATGTTTCAGTTCATTTTATTTATTTATTTCATTTTATTTTATTTCTTTTATTTTTATTAAAATTATAATTGTATCATTATTATTGTTATATTATGATTTTTTTTATTAATTATTTATTAATTTTTTATATTTTAGAAATTGTATACGAAATTTGTTTACACAATCTTTGCGTGCTTAACTACTAACTACTGTCGAAATATCAAAAAATGTATTTTTATACGCAGATCTCTCACCACAGTGCCTGCCATGTGACCGACTATCAGATCAAGTTTAATCCGCAGCCGCGAAATGGAAATATGAGTTGCTAGGGACAACAGTGCAAATAATACACAACACTCGAACACACATACTCACACTCATACATACTCGCATACGCACCCAGACACAAAGCGTGAGGGGCAGATATACAAATTTATAAAGGTAGTTTTTAGCCATCAAACGCTGTTGGTCAACACGTAACGAAAAACAATTTGAAAGCGGTAGCTAACCCAAATCCAAAAGCTATAAAAACTGTATTTAGTTTTTCCACAATTTTTCCACAATTTTTGCACAATTTTTATTTGAAATTTTTCGCAGTTTTCACAATTTTTATATAGAATTTGTGTTAACGCTGCAAGTGCTTGGTAAATAGTTGTGAAAAAATCTGTTCAGCACCAGAAAAGAATCACTTTATCATTTTCGCTTCGACAAACAGTCAAAGAGCAAAAGCGAAAAGCTGATATACCCCGCCGTGCCCCTGCGCCCCCCTTAACATACAGTCCCTGCCCCATCTCTTTAGTTATTATACTCACAGTCGACGCTGACTTTGATGCGCTTGGAAACCGTCGGGGGCACCCCATTGGATGCGATGCAGAGATAGGCGCCCATGTCCAGACGAGAGATGCGGGTTATCTCCAGCGTATCGCCCTCCCACTCATTCACTGCAACAGAAGAGAAAGAGACAGAGAGAGTGAGATAGAGAGAGAGAGAGAGAGGGCGAGGTAGAGGTAGAGGAAGTTAGGTGAATCTCTTAAATGATTGATGCAGCTGCTCTGATATGCGCTAGCCAGCTGTCCGTTACCTTTGCACTTACCTATGTGATTCTTATTGATGGCTATGCGCGAGTTATCATCACGCTTCCATTTGATAATGGGTCTGGGACTGCCGCTGGCCCGACAACGCAGCGATATATTAGCGCCCTCGCGCACGATGACATCGCTCGAGCTCAGCGAATCGTCAATATTTGGCGGCACTGCAAAGAGTTGCAAAATCAATGGAAAATTGTTTTAAAGTAACTTCAGTAAACCAAATAAATAACTGTTAACAGCTCTAGGATAAAACCGCTTACGGCGCAAACAATGCGCCGGATACATTTAAGATTAAAGCGCCTACATAATATATGTATGTGTACATGTATATGCATGTGTATATGTAGAGAGAGCAGCCAATTCATAACATGCACAAACTCATCTACATATATCGCTGGCCACCAAAAATAGGCAGCAAAAACTAAAATAGGTGATAAATTGCATTGTTTGCGAATAAATGTGCGCCAATATATGTGTGTGTGGGTGTCTGCACGTGTGTGTGTGTGGGTTTGTGCAACAGGATATTGCAGCTGGAATATTTTCAATTTCAATTCCATCAGCTTTCAATATGCATTCCATAATTATTTCGCTTATATTTTTCAAATTGAAATGGATCTAAATGCACAAAATTTAATTGAATATATGTATGTATATGCATATTTATGTGAGTATATCTATATATATATAATTGATATACATTTATATAACAATTTTGAGTACATTTGCTTAAGTTACCAATTCAATCCTTAACAACTATTGTTAAAGGCTTTATTTTAAATTAATTTACATCCAATATTATTATAAATTCATTTATATATTTTTAAATTTTTTTCAAATGCTAACTTATGGTTAATTACGTACATAAAAATAATAATACACAATTATTAACACAAATTAATATTGCAAAACATATTTTTGATTTATAATTGTCCCTATAGCATTCAAAATTTGTATAAACTTTAAAAGGTATTATAACCATAATCAATTAAAAAAAAAAATTAATTACTGAAAATATTGAACAAAAAATTTCTTAAGTTATTATTGTTTTATATCTTTTAGAATACTAATTTATTATATTTATCAATATTATTTA